TTTCCCCCAAAAAAACCCCAGAATACAGAGATGAAGTGGCACATAAACTGACAGTTCCACAGCAGTGCTTTCAGCTCTGTCTATTTGGTATTTCATCATTATTTGGAAGAGTATATAAAATCACTGTTGATAAAATTTACCAATGGTACAAAAACGGTAAGATGCTAAAAATCATGGGGAGGCACTGATTAGTCACTTAGTCAAGTGGGCTCTTTTCAACAATATGAATTTTAAATCAGCCAAATGTAAAGGAACAAATTCTAGAGGCGTTGATGAACTGGGCCTAGGATTATGGTAGAGAAGCAACAGAATATGAGCTGTTAGTTGATTGCTATAGCTATGGATATAAACACAGTATAAGATTAATGTCAATTTGAACTTTCATCAAAGCTTTAGTGGGTACCCATAATTTAGAAGGACATTGAAGAATTGGGAAGGGTGTTCCACTCAAGAATGAGAGAAGGCGAAGAGGTGACTGGTTTGCCATCTGCAAGTACATTACTTAGGGAATAGAATTTTTTATTAAAAAAATCTGTTTAATCTAGCAGGGAAAAAATGTAGCAATGTTCACTAGTAGGAAGCAGACTCTGGACAAAGTCAAGCTAGAAATGGGGCACACATTTTGAGTAGTGAAAATACTTAACCAGTCAAACAGTTTACCAGATCAGACTAGATGATCATAATTGTCCCTTCTGGCCTTAAAATCTGTAAATCTATTTAAAATCTGGTTGTGGTCTCCTTGCACAGCCCGTAGCAGATAATTCCTATGACTAGTATGATCAGATTGCATTCTGAGTAGGACTGGTGATAGCTTGCATAGATTATACATCTGCGTTGTTTATACAACCTACTATGCAAATAAACCTGCTTCTAAGGGGCAACATGTCTGTTTCCAGTTATCTAACAAGCTTTTGTGCAGATTTTACAAGCAATGTCGAACGTTTACTGTTTTACTGTATCCTGGTATAAAACAGTTCTTGTGAGTTGTCTTGTGTCTTGTAAACCAGAGCGGTAGATAGATCAGAACTGTGATTATGTTGTCCAGATAAGTTATTCTCTATAAGATTTTTTTTTTAATTGTACACACTGGAATATTCTGTCTTTCTACTCCATTGTGAAAAGGTTTGCAGGGATGCAAACAGGGCCAGAGAATTACCAAGATCAGGATGGTCACTGCCTTTGTGAACAATGAAAAATGACTCTTGGATATGAAATGCAGAAAATTATTTTGAAAAAGTCATGTTCCCTCACTTCTACATGGCAACGTTAATTTATGTGAAGTGATATTAAGTGTTAAATAACTCATCCAGACACTGCTGTTGGCAATATTACCAGGGTAGTCATTACACTAGGATGAATTCTCTGAAACCTTTCCTCAAAGTATGAGATACAAACAGGTTGTCTTCTAACAAGAATCATAGCCTACCTCTCTTGTCCCCTGTAGTATTCTTTGGACATATACTATTCCGGTTGCTGATAGAGTCCTGGAAATTAAGGATCCTTTGGGTTTTCTGTTGAAACTGGCTTGGCTTTTGGTTAGTTTGGTGGAGGTTAGGTTGGGCTTTTTCCCACAGCAGCTTATAACTCTGTTTTGTCGTTTGTACAGGGATTTACATGGAGCATAGCTGGTTGTTAATTTGAATGGATGAAATATCATCTAAATATCTGCACAATTACTGAATTTAGGAAATACTGACACACTAAATGTAAAAGATTCAAAGATGATTTACTCCATCCTACTCCCTTCTGCCAGTGCCTGCCCTCAAAATAGCAGCAGATAAGAGTGCTTTGAAGTAAAGTAACCACTGCTAATATTTGGATCTAAAAGTAAAGAGAGAGGTTTTGAATAGTTCCCTTTGAACAATGTTATTTGGCCAGTCCTGTATTGTAAAGGTGGCATAGTGTGTTGTTACATGTTGAGTCCAATTTCAGACCTTCAGCTTTAGGTCTCATTTCTAGCCATGCGAGAGGTGGGAGCACCACAGAGGCAGTGTACCAAAGCTAGGGGAGATTTGAACGTTTTGTCACACTATCCCAGTCAGTGTCTTCTTTCAGTCCAATGCTTATGGGGTTCGTGGTGAGCTGTGTCCAGATCTGCTTTGCTGAGAGGAAGCTCATTCAGTGGAGAGGCCTTTGAGCAGAAAATGTAATGACTTCAAGGCTTAGCAATTCAGAATAAGAGTATGTTGTTGTGCTCAGTGCTTTAGACTGAAGGTACTTTGGAAGTACAAAATATTACTAGTATTTCCTCTAGTTAGCATATTTTAACTCACTTATACTCATGTTTACATATGCTTACTGCTTTGAACAGCTCCTGCATATTTTTAGCAACATCAGGGCAGCCTATATTGCAAACTTCTCCTCCTCCTTGCAGAAGTAGTTATCCAACAGTTGACATAGGACCTGCAATGCTGGGACAGTTTTTAATGGTGTTGCTTGATGTGCCATGCAAACACACACTGAACTATCATTAGAATAAAAGGAAGTGCTCAATATAATTGTGTTAAAGATTTCCGTAAAGGCATAGGGGATGCTGAGGAAGAGCTTTTCAATTAAGAAGAGTGCAAACTCAAAAGTGAGAGCATTTAACCTTATGAAGTCTGGTACTTGTTTTTCACCAGTCTGATTGCTTCTTAGGCAACACTTGAAATACCCAAGTTGTGTCAGAGGTCATTAGTAACTGTTGACAGTAACTGGG